GGCCATACACTCTGTTGTAACTGCTCAGCTCTACTGTTACAGCATGAAAGCAGCCATGGACAACATGTAAATGAATTAACAAGAGAGTGGCCCAGTAAAACTTTGCAAAACAGGCAGTGGGCCCAGTTTGTCCTCTAAGCCAGAGTTTGCTGACCCATGATCTAAAACAGTGCCTCAGAAAACTTGAGAGTAAAAGGATTTGCAAAGACTTAGCTGGCAAATTCAAACCAAGAAAATGAGAGTCCAGATGTTTGTGTCAGACAAGGCTGAATGCAAGAGATAAAGCATCAACTGAGTTGCATTTTCTAATTATAAAGAGTGATCGTCCAGTGGTCATGAATCTCATATATCAGATAATGCAGCTTTAAAATTTATAAAACAAAAAATATAAGGAGAAACAGACAGAAATCAGATTATAGTAGGGGACTTTGAATCATCTCTTCCAGCCCTTGATAGAGCAAGCAGACAGAATAAGGAAGAACATGGTGGACGTCGATAGCATGATATACGATGTGACAAACAACATACCCCAGAGACAACGAATCCTCTTGTTCAAGAATACCTATTAGTCCCCAAAGAAAGTCTCAGTCAAATTCAAAAAGCGGAGATATATGCAGATTATGCTCCTTATTCTTAACCAGAACTAAAACAAAAGAGTCCATAAAACTGTACCATCTGAAAAAATTAGATAGGTCCTCGATCAAAGGAGAAATCAAAAAATCAATCCAAATCAACCAGAAAGTACTGATCATCAAAATTTGTGTATTACTGACTAAGGGATATGGCTAAAGCAATACTCAGAGGAAAATTCATAGATGTCAGTCAATTACTAAGTGATGGAAGAATGAAAACAAAAGAATTCAGCCCAAGAAGTTGCAAAAAATAGTAGAAGAAATGGAAAGAAAGCAGAAAGACTGTAGGAACAGATAAATGGCAAAATTGATGAATTAGAAGACATGTATAGATATACTAATAAATCCAAGACATTTTGGTTTGTTTTTTTAGAGGATATTGGTAAAAATATTAAACAGGTAAACCTCTATTGACCCTAATCATGAACAAAAGAAGAAAGAACAAGTGTCAAGTATGTGTATGAACACACGCAGAATATGAGAATGAATCACAGATGTTTAGGAAATTAAATATAAGAGGTCACATGGCTACATTGTATGCAGGTAAATTTGAAAACCTGGTCTACTGCACAAAAAAGCACTAGCGGGCCCAGGCAGCCTTCTAAGGAACATTACAGCTGCGGTGCTTTTACCTTGTTCAAGAACGTAGAAAAGAGAAAGATTTTCTAAATTATTATTATTTATTGTTAATTTTTTAAAGATTTTATTTTTGCGTTTTCTCCCAAAGCCCCCTGGTACATAGTTGTGTATTTTTAGTTGTGGGTCCTTCTAGTTGTGGCATGTGGGACACCGTCTCAGCGTGACTTGATGAGCCGTGCCGTGTCTGTGCCCAGGATCCAAACTGGCGAAACCCTGGGCCGCCGAAGCAGAATGCACGAACTTAACTGCTCGGCCATGGGGCCGGCCCCTATTTTTTTTTGGTTGTTATATGGATGCCTAATTCTGGCAAAGCACCACAAAAAAGACAACCCCAGACTATTCTCACGATCCAAAAATCCAAAATATTAGCAAGTGTAATTCAGCGACACCTTGAAAGAGGAATACGTGATGCCCAAGTTGCTTTCATCCCAGGAATGTAAGAAGAGTTCTGTATCAGGAAATACTAAACACTAAACACTATTTTAAAAAGTACAAGAGAGAAAAACGATCACCTCCCTAGAAGCTGAAAAAGAATTTAGTAAAATTAACCAATTCTGAGGGTTTTTTTTGTCTTTTCTTTGAGGAAGATTAGCCCTGAGCTAACTATTGCCAATCCTCCTCTTTTTGCTGAGGAAGACTGGCCCTGAGCCAACATCAATGCCCATCTTCCTCTACTTTATACGTGGGATGCCTACCATAGCATGACTTGCCAAGCGGTGCCATGTCTGCACCCAGGATCCAAACTGGTGAACCCTGGGCTGCCAAAGTGGAACGTGCGCACTTAACCACTGAGCCACCGGGCTGGCCCCTGGAATTCAGAGTTTTTTGATCTTTAGAAGAAGGTGCATAAACCATATATTATGTAACACTTCTCTTGCAACCTTTAGTACCGCCTCATAATCATATTACTATTTCTGAAGGAAAATATATAAATATTCACACTAAAGGGGTAAAAACTAAATAACCTCACACTGGTTCAGGTCAGGTTTTGCTGTCAGATGAGTTCAGGTCAAATTAGATTTTGCCACCAAAAGAGTTATGAAAAAACTTTTAGTTTCAGAGTTTCTTTGGACATTGGATTTCTGGTTAAGGTATTGTGGACCTGTCTCTGGTTCATAGCTTTTCTTTCTAGTAATAATTAGGACATCTGGACCAGATTTTGTTAGGCTATGCCTGGGTCTTGGTGTTAAAACTGTATCTCCTGCCTGTACAAGACAGCTTCTTTCTTTCTTCTTCCTTTTTTTTTTGAGGAAGATTAGCCCTGAGCTAACTGCTGCCAATCCTCCTCTTTTTGCTGAGGAAGACTGGCCCTGAGCTAACATCCGTGCCCATCTTCCTCTACGTTATATGTGGGATGCCTACCACAGCGTGGCATACCAAGCAGTGCCATGTCCACACCCGGGATCCAAACCAATGAACCCCGGGCCGCCAAAGCGGAACGTGTGCACTTAACCACTGCACCACTGGCCCAGCCCCAATTCTGAGTTTTTTTTAAAAAAAGAAACGACAGTTAATGAAGTAGAAATTACTTATGCTTCCTTAACGTAACAGGAAATGAGTCTTATGATAAAAGTCAGCACTCTTCCCACCATTGACTCAAAGCAATTCTCATTTAAAGTTAGAAATAGCAATGGTCGCCATTGTTAGCGTTGTCCCAGCAGTTCTAGCCAATTCATATGGGGGGAAAGAGGTATATGAATTGAGAAGAAAGGGGACGTCGTCAACTTGACAGATATGATTGCATATGTCGGAGTGACAAGTGACCCTTGTGCTTTGCATCCCTCCGTGCCTGCCCGCTGACTTCTTTCTATGGTTGGTAAAGTACTCTCATACTTACAGATATATAGGCTGCTTTTTCATAATGGCAATCAAGTTGATTTTGAAAATTACTTTTTTCAGTTACTTATGTCTAGCATATTTTTTCCCGAAGTTCATATCACATTTATTTGAACTAATTTCTGAAAGATTTATGTCTGCCAGGTGGATGAGCAGGCCAAAGAGAGAGTGCTTTACAATATTTCCTTTCCTGAACATCCAGACGTTTAGGGGAGCTAAATTTAAACTTTTAGTGCAACTTTTCTTCCCTTCATTCTAGTAAAGTGAAAGGGAAAGCTCTGATTTTTGTGTTACACTGATGTGTGATTAAATTTACTCAGTAATGAATGTGGTTTTTATTAACCAAGCTAATATTTCAGGTCTTTGGGGTTTTTCCTACTGGAGTAAGTGAGCTGCTTCTCGGGGGTAATACAAATCCTCTGCCTGTGTCATTGGCAGGTAGAATGCAGTAATAATATGATTAGCGTTTATGAATAGTAATCTTCATTTGTCCAATGCTTAACATCTACTGGGCATGGTGCTTAGTGTGTTGTGTGCTTTGTACCATTTGATCCTTAGAGCAACCTGGTGATGACATGGCTGCTATTATCAACATCCCTATTTGCCAAATGAGAGAACTGAGGTTGGGTGGTTTGTTCAAGGTACCACCCTAAGTGGCGATTTCACACTTAGCAGACCTGTCTTCTGACTCCTCAGGATTTACGTGTATCTTGTCGTTCACTGCTGTGAGGAACTTCATGTTCCCTTTTGTAAAGGAGAGAGTATTTCTTGCGTTTTCTGTAGCTGGGATGTAAGCTGTTCATCAGCCATCTGGGTGACTTTTTGGAGTGGAGAAAGTGGGTAGACCCCATCGGCCTGCCACGCTCCCGAGTGGACCGGGTGACTGATTCAGTCTTGCTGTAGACTGCATGGTGTTCTAACGTAGAAATGCTTTTGTGCGGAGCGTGGTGAGTGTGAGTGAGTGCTTCCTTCCATTTCTGGTTAAGCCTCCACGGCCTCATAAGCCGCGATTATTGTCCCGCTCAGTGTGATGGGGAGCAGCCCGGGGTGCAGAGCCCTGAAGCGGATGGTGGAAGTGTGCTCGGGAGACTAGTCTTTGGACTCAAGAAGTTTGTAGGTTGGAAGGGGTAAGTTGGGGGCAATAATAGCGGGAAAACGACTTTCTTTTCTTTTTTTACAGATTGGCACATGAGCTAACAACTGTTGCCAATGTTTTTTTTCTTCTTCTCCCCAAACCCCCCGGTACATAGTTGCATATTCTAGCTGTGAGTGCCTCTGGTTGTGCTGTGTGGGACGCCCCCTCAGCGTGGCCTGATGAGCGGGGCCATGTCCGAACCCGCCAAACCCTGGGCCCCTGGAGTGGAGCGCGCAAACCTAACCACTCGGCCAGGGGCCGGCCCCCGGGAAATGGCTTTTTTAAAAAACAAGAAGTTGCTCTTTTTTTGTATTTCATCGAAACATTTGTTACAAATTGCCAAATATTTTGTCAACATATGAAAAAATGTAGACTTTCTGAAGGAAGTTTCAGGTGTGTCGCGTTCATTCCGTTGGCACTGTAAGGAGACGTGGGTTCTGGACGAGGGTGGCAGGCGGCCGCCAGTCGTGGGCCAGGCCCCGCCGCCTCGTGGTGTGTGGTGGGAGAGCCTGGCCGCGAGGTGTCCACGGACGCAAGCGAGGTGTCCACGGACGCAAGCGGAGCGCTGTGAGCTCCCGCCCGAGGGCAGGGGAGCGGGCGCGTGCCGAGGCCTCGTGGTTGGAAGTCAGTATTGGGGCGTTGCCTTACAGTGGAGAACCCATCCTGTCAGGAAGGGTGACGTCCCACTATTTTACTTCCCAGGTGACCGAGCTTTGCTTATTTCTGTTTGTTAACTAGGCCTTTTGATATTTTTGTAGACAATCTGCTTCATCTTGATTCTGCAGCATTGCAAACTGTGGTATCCTGGGGTTCTCTTAACATTGCGGAAGATTTAAGATCAGGTATGGCTGGGGGGCCAGGAGTCCCTCAGTGAAATTCTCAGCTTACCTCCGCCTTTCCCTCTCTGATTGACCATTTGGGTTTCTTTTTTTGTGGTGGTCTTTTAGCTGATGTTCACAAGGAATCGAGTCACGTGATGTATGAAGGGAAACATATACACTTCTCTGAGGTTGACAATAAGCCCTTGTGCTCATATAGCCCCAAACTGTGCAAGCAGCGGCGACTCAACGGCTACGCTTTCTGTATCAGACACGTTCTGGAGGACAAGACCGCCCCCTTCAAGCAATGTGAATATGTGGCCAAGTACAACAGCCAGCGCTGCACCAACCCCATCCCCAAGTCCGAGGACCGAAGGTAAGAGCCACGGCGCGGGCAGCCTTGACTTCGTCAGCAGGCTTGGGACTGGTCCTGTTCTTGCCTTTTTTTTTTTGTTTTGTTTTTTTGGTGTAGTGAATTTAAATGTTGAGTTCTGGGAGTAATCTAAGTAAACTTTGGAATGCTTCTAAAGATGAGAGAGAGCAATTTTGAAAAAATGGAGTAGTAAATTTGGGCAGTTATTTGAAAAGTATGTTTGTTTTCTGATTTTTTTTAAATTGATTTAATAGACTTTTTAGGATTGCTTTTCAAAAACTGCTTCTCCTCAGAATTGCTGCTTGAAGTCTTGGTACTGACGTGTTTGGTTTGCAGCCTCATGAAGTAGTTCCTGACGTCTACTTAGTTTTGTCATCTGCTAAACGAGAGACACTATAGGAACTACTTAGGTGTTGTCATTAATGATAATAATTTTGGAATTTTTAAATCTGTGCTTGAAAGGTAGCAAAGAGAATGTACTTATTGAAAAAGAATTATTCAAAAGAATGATTACTTGAATCATTCAGAAGACTTTCTTCCTATCACACTTCTAAGTGGTGTGTGCCACTGTTTTATAATCTTGCCTCTTTTCGTTAGAAAGAGTTCCATATAGAGTATGTTTACCATAGTTTAGAAACTGTATTTTCATAGTAAGGGTAGGCTTTAGCACTAGCATGACAAATTTATGCTTTGCCGAATTAAAAAAAATAACACGTGGAGGTGCTTTTAAAGAAGGAGTCTTATACTGGTTATTCATCTTTCATATTCTTAGGAAGATTCACACTATATTTCACATATAATCTCTTTTTCATATCTCTTTTTCTTTAGTCATCCAGAAACCATGTTGATCATTGTAGGATATTACAGAGAGATGCATGCTTATTTTCCAAAAAATTTCAAAAACTTGTCTTTAGGTATAAAGATTTTAACTTTTTACTTCCGTCTTTAAAATATATACACACACGTACATACCCCCTTACCCTTCATCTTTGTTCCTAGACATCAGCAAATGTCACCTGCATAAATTGGTTGAAAAGGAGTCATGTATTTCATATGTCATGGTGAGCAATTTTTAGACTTTTAGGGTGAAATAAATAATTTGTGTTGTTAGAGATCCCATCAAAATGAGTAGACTATAATGTGGTGATTTGGGAATACTCTCTTAGAATTTCTAATGAGCACTTAAGGCTTCACATGACAACACCTGAAAGTCAGAAACAGCTGCTTAGTGAGGCAAGGGATGAAATTTTAATCTCAGGTGAGAGAGGGACCGCTGTGTTAGGCTAAGCATGCCTGCCCAGTGTGTTTAAGCTGGCTGAAAAAGGTAATTTATCCTGCCTTCTTTAACTTGAAGAATGGAGGAACTTGGATTAATTTTTTACTTCAAGCTCCATTATAAACACAACTCTCCAATTTAGTCTTGAACTCAGTTTATCACAGTTGCAAGTGTCAACCTTGGATTTTTTTCATTTCGGCAGAAGCAAGTGTTGATAGCCCACAGCAGGAAGTAAAGTAAGAGTCACTCGACTTCCTCCAGAATATTTTCCCTGAGGCATGTGTCTTCACCTTTAGACTCGAAGGAATTTCTTCTTTTTAGAACAAGATAAGAAGTGAAAGGACTTTTGTGTTGCTGTATCAAGAGAAACTGTGCTTAATAAATGCTAAGTTATATATGTTTTTTCAAAATTGGTCCAAGACCATATGAATGCAAATGATATTAATATTTTTCTCGTTTGTGGGGTTGTTTGAAAGTAGATTAAAATAAACATTAGTAGGAAGTAATATTCTTATGTTACCTCAAGAAATCCGGGTTGAATTCATGTAAAACTTTATCTAAGCCTGTGTATAAATATTGATAGTTAGAACTATAGTATATGACAGAATGTGGAAAATGTCAGTAAGCTCTCATCGTCGTTAATGCAGTGACTCTTTGAACACTTAGGGATTTGAGATGGTTTTATGCGTTGTTTTAGAAAACAAATTCCTAAGGACTTTTAATTGACAAAATTATCTGGTTGTTGGTCCGCTAGAGAAAGCTTCTTGGTATCTGATGTCTAACTTACCTGGTGTGTGTTATAAATGCTGACACTGCTTTGAAACAGAGTAGTGTTACGTTCAGTAGAAGTACTGGTATAATTAAAAAGCAAAGTCCTCTTTCTAATATTTGTCCAGTGGAGGGACTTAAGGCTCATTCCTGTAGCCTCGGTTTCTCAGCAATGAGCGGTCATATTAAGTTGGTTATTTTATATGATATTTTAAATTTGCTATAATTTTACCTGTATATTTGCCCAGAAGTTTTCTTGTTTGCTGTATATTTACTCTCTTCTGAAACAGCTTAACGAAGACACAATTCACATACCCTGCAGTCCCCCCATTTGAAGTGTACAGTTGAGGGTTTTTTAGTATATTTACAGGGGTGTGCAACTGTCACCACAGTCTCACTTTACATTTTCATCCCTCCAAAGAACTCATTAGCAGTCACTGCCCTATAAAGTTGTTCTTTTAGACTAGAAATTCATATTCGCATACTTATTTTTTTTTAAGATTGGCACCTGAGCTAACAGCTGTTGTCAATCTTTTTTTTCGCTTTTTTCTCCCCAAATCCCCCCAGTACATAGTTGTATATTCTAGTTGTGAGTGCCTCTGGTTGTGGCATGTGGGATGCCACCTCAGCATGGCCTGATGAGCGGTGCCATGTCCGCGCCCAGGGTCCGAACCTGCAAAACCCTGGGCCGCCGAAGCGAAATGCGGGAACCTAACCACTTGGCCACAGGGCCGGCCCCAATAATGCACATGATTATACAAAATGCTTTGAGAAGTTGGCAGAACAACTGAAGCAAACAACAGAATTGTAGTCTAATTCTGTTTAAGCCAGCATTTTCCAAATTTATTTAAGTGTGGAGTACTGTTTGTACGGCATACTTGTTAACATGGTGCGGTACTGCGCTTGGAAACCCCACTGCTTCCTGGGTAGAAGCCTCCGCAGGTTTCCAGCATGGTGCCTGGGACAACGTGCACACTCTTCTCCCAGCACAAGAAGGGCTTGGTCCCTTCCTACTATTTTACGAATAGCGAGTATATTATAAGAGAAGCCTGCTCGTTGCTGAAGACTAAGAAGAGTCTTCATGACCTTTGACTCTTAGTTCAAGTCTCAGCTCTGTCACTTTCTGGATGGGTGGTTTTGGGCAAGTTGTTTCTTTTTTTTTGAGGAAGATTAGCCCTGAGCTAACATCTGCCAATCCTCCTCTTTTTGCTGAGGAAGACTGGCCCTGAGCTGACATCTGTGCCCATCTTCCTCTACTCTATATGTGGGACGCCTACCACAGCATGGCTTGCCATGCGGTGCCATGTCCGCACCCAGGATCCGAACTGGTGAACCCCGGGCTGCCAAGAAGCGGAACGTGCGCACTTGTAGGCTCTGAAGAGAGAATAACAAAGGGTGTGAGAAGCAGTAGTGGGACAGTTATCCAGGGCCTCTCACTATTTGAATGGCCTGCCTCTGCCTGGCAGCCTCTGTGCACGTACAGCTCACCTTTTCTTAGCAGAATTGCAGACTTGAGGCTTGCTCGAGAGTAGTGGAAGTTGCATGTATTAACTCCGTGAAGGCGAGAGTTGCTGTAGTCATGCCTTGTTAACATCCTGGGACTCACGTTTTACAGTATGTAGTTTTATATTCTGCTTTTCCTAACATGTATCGTGAACATTTCCCTTTGTGTATATTTTTACAGGTACTGCAACAGCCACTTGCAGGTACTTGGCTTTATCCCGAAAAAAGAGAGGAAGAAAAAGAATGATCCTCTAGATGAGGTCAAGGTCAGGCACCAGATGGATACCATGGCCTTCAGCCTGACCGTGCCCACGGTGGCCTTGAAGATGCCCAATGGACTGGATGGAATGTCCCTCTCTCCACCGGGGGCAAGGGTCCCTCTCCACTACCTGGAAACCGAGCTGGAAGACCCATTTGCTTTCAACGAGGAAGACGATGACCTAAAGAAAGGGGCAACCGTGAGAAGGAAGCTACAGAGCAAGTTGGCCCAGAACCGGCAGCGCCAGAGAGAGACAGAGATTCTGAAAGTCCGGCAAGAGCACTTTAGTCCCCCTCCTGCACCTTCGCAGCAGCAGCCTCCGCAGCAGCTCTCCCACCTGTCACCTGTATCCACGTGTATAAAACCTCCAGCGCCACCGCAGGGTTTAGTCTGCAAGTCACCTCAGCCTCCAAACACCAGCCTACCACTGCAGGGAGTGGCCCCCACCACACACTCGATAGCACAAGCGAGGCAGTCGTCTCACAGGCGGCCTCTGCCCCTCCTGCCATCTAGCAGGGCTCCTGGCGCCGACCCACCCAGGACCGACCGGGTCCTCATGAGAGCCGCCGCCTTCTCTCCACACTTCTCTTGTATAAGCCGGCTGCAGAGACTGGTGAAACTGTGCGCCCAAAGCCATCAGTTGGACGCGGACCTGTTTCCCCATTTAGGTGAGTTATCATCTGTTTTACCACATGTGTACGTCCATGTGTAATGTGACAGGACGTGCCCTTTGGCACGAGGCTTTGTTTTCATCCCTGCCACGCATGATGGGAGTGGAAGAACGCTTGGACAGCGGGGTCCGCTGGAAGAGAGTCTCTGTAGGTGGGCCACCTTCAGTCAGTGTGCTTGCTGGGGGTGATGCCTGGAGAACAGCACTCAGAACGAGGAGCTGGGGATGGAAACTCCGGTCAGAGCTTCTCGGGGTAGTGGTGGCAGCTGTGTTTGGTCGTGCGTCTCTGTCAGTTCAGGACCTGGGTGTCTGCTGAAGTTCTCTTCATGTCTTATCGGAGGACTTTGGAATAATGATAGTCGTGTTAATATCTGCCGACAGTTTTTTTAAAAAACGACTTTTTAAAAAAAATTCCTAAAGCAATACCTGTTCATGATTTAAAAGTGAAAAAATACAGATGAAACTTTCCCTTAGTTAAAGGTCTGTTTGTCCTTCGTTGCTTCTGAGCTTTCTGTCTTGCTCCAGAAAATCTCTCTGATCCCAGGTTTATACAGATATTCTGTATTTTCTATTAATAGTTTGATTGGGGGTTCTGGGGGGTTTTTTGGTGAGTAAGACTAGCCCTGAGCTAACATCTGTGCCAGTCTTCCTCCACTTTATATGTGGGATGCTGCCACAGCATGGCTTGCTGAGCAGTGCGTGGGTCCACACCCAGGATCCAAACCGGTGGACCCCCGGCCGCTGAAGTGGAGTGTGTGAACTTAACCTCTGCGCCACCGTTCCAGCCCCTGATTGTTTTGTTTTTGATTATATAAACCTTTCATTCATTTGAAATTTATTCTTGAATGTGGTGTGAGCTTTGATTCTAACTTTAGGAAAAATTATTTGCATGACATATGACAGCAATAGAAAAATGGGAACAGGATGGAAATAGAGGAAGAAGAAATATTAGTGGTCAGTAAACAAATGGAAACCTCAATCTTCATAGCAGGTGGGGAAATGCAAATTAAGATAACAATGAATTACCATCAGATTGGCAAAAATTATGTCCAGTGTTGATGAGGAGATGGGATCTCATACACTGCTGGTTAGTCATGTGACAGTATCAACTAATTAAAAGTATGTGTGTAGTCAGAACACACACTTTTGGGACTCTAGGCCCTAATAGAAAAAGTGTCAGACTGTAACACTATGTGTTCAAGGATGTTTATTGCAGCGTTGCTTACAGTATTAAAAATCTGCAAACAACCTTTTTAACCAATAGCAGAGCTTGAGTAAATTATGGTATGTATATGTTTCATGAAGTATTACGCAACTACTGAAAAGAATGAATAAAATCTGTATCTTTTGCCTGGATGTGCCCATTATATTAGAGAGTAGAAAGAAAACAAGAGGTATTATCCCATTTTTTAAAAAAATAAATAAATAAATAAAGGACATCAGTACATCTGTTGATCAAGCGCATGGATAGATGGTTACCTGTTTGATGTGCACACACGTAAACCGTGAATGGATGTGCACTACCAGGCTGTTAACAGTGGCTGCTACGCAGAGTGGAATCAAACAGGAGGTGTTTTTAGTGAGGCAGGAGCATTAATTCTCATATAGCTCTGTATTATTTCATCTGCTATTAAACCCTGTGTGATTTTTGGTAATTAAAAAAACTAATACAATTTAAAGAAAAAATGTGGATAAAAATAGTAAATTAAAACACCCCAAACCTTATTAATACCCATTTGTTAATACCTTGGTATATTCTTTCAGGCATATAAAATTTGGTTTCTGGTATACATACAGTTTGTAACTTGATTTAAAATTTTTCATAATGTATTATCAAGTTAGTAATTTTTCACACACAGCATAACTCGCCACAGCTGAGCTCTCTCTCGAAGTCGTTTCCAGTTTAGATCATTAGAAAGTCTTGTAGCTGTACGGTCTCGCAGTAAAATAATTACCATCGTATCTTTAATTTTTCCTTCAAATAGAGTCCTAGAAACAGAATTGCCACTTCCAGGCTTTTGCATTTTTTGAAAAGGTTTCTGAGGTCTTGCCAATTTCCCTCCAGAATTATTTTGTTAGTTTATGCTTCTTTCAGCAGTGTATGAGGACAGTTTCTCTGCAGCTTTACAGCCTTGCAAATTAGATATTATAATTATTATTTTGCCTTTGCAAATTTGATAAAAATTTGCTTTGATTTGCATATCTTACATCAGTATTTCTCAAATTTTTGGCCTTAGAATTCCTTTACTCTCTTAAAAATTATTCAACACGCCATAGAGCTTTTGTGTATGTGAGTTGTATCTATTGATATTTACTGAATTAGAAGTTAAAACTGAGAAATTTTTAAAATGCCAATTCATTTAAAAATAACAGCAAACTCACTACATGTTAACTTGTTCTTTTTATGAAAAATAACTGGTTTCCAAAAACAATGTAATGAGAAGAGCAGCGTTGTTTTACATTGTTTTGCAAATCTTAACATCTGGTTTAGTAAAGGACAGCTAGATTCCTATATCTGCTTCTGCATTGACCGGTCGTGATTTGTAGTTTTGGTTGGTAGATAAAAATATGGCCGTATCCATTTGTAATTGGAAAAGGGAGGAATATTTTAATAGCTTTTTTCAAATATTTGTGGTTCTTCTTATTTGATTCTACACCACAGCTTGATGAGTGGTAGTTCCTGAAAGATTAGTTGCAGTGTGGACTCTGAAACCACATCAAGGACTTTTGCACACTCTTACATTAAAACTCATTGACCCACCTTGTGCTTTGAGTGGATCTTGTATCCACGCATGCTTTTGTAACATCGTGTATTGGTCATTTGGAAAATGTTGGTTTACTGAGTTTTACAGATGTTCCAAAAGTTGACATATTATATTATACAAAATTTTAAAATCCCATTCATTAATATTACCACCAGTCTCATCAGAGAAGTCTAACCGTTAGGAGGTTGTCATACTCTCAGTGGTGAATGCAAGTTTTCAAAGAAATCAAGCATTCATTGAAAATTCGATTTTTATCATTGGCAACAAATACTGTCCATTGTTTCCTTGAAGTGACGGTTTCATGTGTTCATTTTAGATAAAAGTTAGTGCCAAGTCTCTGAGTCCCCATAACTGTGGTTTGTCAGTCACTCTTTCAAATAAAGACAGTGCTGAATGGAGAAGAGTGGCTAGTTGGGGGTCACCATTAAAATGGGCATGAGAGCGCTCCTCCTCAAGAGACCAGCGCGCCGTCTGCGTACAGCAGAGGCCTTCCTGTGTGTGTCACCCTCCGTCACACGGAGTATCAGAGAATCAGATTTATTAAAATAAACGGGAGACTTATCAAGGACCTTCGTAGAACTGTGTTGGTTTTTGTTCGTATGAGCCCCGTGGCCTGGTCTGAAGCACGTGCCGGGGACGGCAGGCTCCCCTCCAGAGGTCAGCACCGTGGAGGAGGCGGGCACTGTTCTGAGCCCGTGGTGACCTAAGGAGTTCAGGGCGGTCTCAGGCAGCCCTGGGGTCTGTGGCCAGACTGGGAGTGAGAACCGCTAGTGTGCGCTAAGTCTAGTTTGGAGTATTTGTTCATACGCTTTTTTTGGTCATTTGTGTTTCTTATTTGTTTTGGCTTTTCACTATTTTCATCCATTTTTATTGAAGAGTTTCTCTCCTTTATCAATTGTAAGTTTTTATACGCATTTCCTGTTTGCTGCTCTGCTCCCTCCCCTTGGCATTTGCTTTTCAATATCTAGTGTAATGATTTTGCACTTTAGAAGTTAAAGTGTCTTATCTATTCCCTTTTTTTAGGAGTTTTTCCTTTCGGTGCTTTTTTCCCCCTTGTTTGGGCTCTCTTCGTTCCAAGAGTATGTCACTGTATCCACCTGTATTTTTGAATCCTTTTTTTTATCATTTACGTTTCAGTCATCTATCTGGAACTCTAGGCATTAGTTGCAGGCAGAGATCTATATTTTTCCCAAATGCCTGCCTCTTATTCCACCATTTACCAATCTCACATGCTAACTTTTTATTTATAACTTGATTTATTTATGGATGTGCTAATTTTTTAGTTTTCGAAACTTGAAATTTAATGTTGTGTTTAGGGCTTGATTTTTCTATCATTTTGAAGAGAATGAAAACTTAAAGTATTGTTTTTTAGTCTTTTTTAAATTCACGCATATTAGGGGCCCAGGTTTTCAAGACAAGGCTTATTTTGGAGAAACCAGAAATTGTAATGCACTGTTATAACCAAGCATACTCTGTGTTCGTGTCAGCAAAAATACTTAAAGAAAAATACAGTCTTGTAATTAGCTTTTACAGTCCTGTCCGGGCTGGTTGTCTCAGTTAGTTACATTAAAACTAGTGATAATGAAGCCAGGATCAAAGGTTTTCTCTAGTGGACAGTTAATGTCAGTGCAGGAGAAGCACTTCCATCTTAGTTCTCTTGACTTTTTCAGAGAAAGTATAGGTGTCTTAGTAGAAATTATTATTACTTCTACAGAAAGAATAAAAGATAACTCACATTCTGACTTTTAAAGGTGTCTTAAGTGACACTTTGTTTCAAAGACCTCACCTGATGCAACTGTGATCACTAAATTGTTTGTACTTTTTTTTTAAACAAATTACTGATTAGTTTAGTTGAGAGGAAGTAACTTCTTGTTCAGGTGACCTGACGTTTTAGATAGTCATCTTGCAATTAGATTTGAGGTTTCTTTATGCCAGTGGCAATGCGTTATTTAATTTTAAGCATTTGTAATTTGCATTTCAATTAACCTTTTATTTCCCCATTTGGCACATGTAAACTCATTTAAATTATGGAAGAAATCTGTGAAGTCCTTTTTAACATAACTGAGTCTAATGAAGATGCTCTTGATTTTTGAGGGTCTCTAGAAGGAAGGCATAGGATACTAGTTATCAAGGTATCTGGTTAATGTTTTCTAGTGGAGTGAGTGAATTAAAGTGATGTAGTCCCATACACCGTTGTACTTTAGGCTGTGCAACATTAGTGTTTATCAAGACCTCTTCAAGACGGAAAACTTTTTGAAAAGGTAAAACCTTTATGTTGGAAGCTAACAATTATCTAATCATTAAAAGTAATAGCATTTAACAAAATAAAGTTAAGCATTGTGCATCCTATATTTCTCTGCTTTTCCCTCTAAATTTGTTTTTCAAAATGGAATGCAAAATGTGGCAGCTATTGCTTAAAAGAATTAAAGGAAACCCCAAGCCACATAGAAAGAAATAGAGCTTTGCGAAGCCCCCTTTCCTCTCCCTGGGGTGGGCAGGAGCCGGGGCTGGCCCTTCAGAGGACGCAGGGAGGGAGGCGTGCCTGCCTCCACAGCTTATCCTCGGCTCGTCCTTCTTGAGTGGAGAGCGGCTCGCTGCACCTTTTCACTGTTTTCTTGCCTGAACGTACTTTAGTCTTCTTCTCCCACCATCTTGAATATGTTTCATGTTTTTCTGACATTATTTTAGTGTATGATGTTTTGATACTTAAGAAAGTCCACCCTTTTTTTCTCACTTGAACTCTAGCTCTTTCCTTGTGTTGTATCTACTCCATTTGTGAAGTGTCCAACGAAAGAAGTTCATCCTTGGAATGTAGCCTGTTTTTTTGTGTGTGTCTGTGAGGAAAACTGGCCCTGAGCTAACGTCTGTTGCCAACCGTCCTCTTTTTGCTTGAGGAAGACTGGCCCTGAGTTAACATCCGTGCCAGTCTTCCTCTACTTTATGTGGGACGCCACCACAGGGTGGTCTGACCAGCGGTGCTAGGTCTGCGCCGGGGAGAGAACCCCAGGCCACCAAAGTGGAGCCCACGAACTTAACCGCTATGCCACCAGGCCAGCCCCTGGAGTACAGCCTTTTTGTTATGATGTCATTATTTTGAACCTAAGTGTATGTCATACATTCATTGTTAATATCTTTGTCAGAAAAGGGATGAAATGCATCAGGAGCATTTATTCACAGTGTGATAGTACTTGGTGTAGGTGGTGGGTTATGTATTTTGGGTAGCTTTTAATCCAAATTTTAAGTAAAAGTAAACTTTTTCTAACTTGCAGTATCCTTGCCTCTTTCCCAGGGTTGGACTGGTCTGAAGAGAGCGGAGAGGAGCTGGAGGCCTCGGAGCAGGCCTCGCCCTACCAGGTTGCATGGTCCATCCGAGAAACCCTCAGATATGAAAGACACACGTAGGTCTTCCTTTTTGTTTTTATTCTCAAATTACCACTGTAGTTGATTGATTTTTTTTCCCCTATATATGCTAACTTTTAAAAATTTCATTGGATCTTGTTTTATTGTAATGGAGGTAAAATAGATACCACCTGGGAAGAAACGTACTGTATTGTTTGGGGAAAGTGACTCTTAATTTTTGATGGTAGATTTGTTTATAATCGAAAGGAACCTTAGAGATGAGCTGATCCCCTGTCCTCATTTTACAGAAGAGGAAACCAAGGCCCAGACAGGTTAAGGACTTTGCCTGTGGTCCCACTGTCTGACTCCTCCATATCTTCTTTGGCCCTCGTGCCACAGCAGCTGGGAATAGTGTTTTTTACTTCATCTCTGTCTTCTGCAAGACTGACCCATTCTTTAATATTTCTAATGTGCTAAAATGCTTTTCAACATAATCTCATTAGAGGTTCTTGGTACCCTTCTCATCAGAAAGCTGTCAATTAATGCACAGCCCCTCAGTGGTAGTGAGAACGCTGGTCCTCTTCCGGGGTCTGCCTTAGCGTCGCAGGGGTTCACTTGGTGCCGTGGGATGCTACCGAGGTAGAGGCTTGTCTATAGGGCCAGAAGATGGCTCAGACTCAGCTAATTGTTTTTTGTTTTTTTTTTTTAAAGATTTTATTTTTTTCCTTTTTCTCCCCAAAGCCCCCCGGTTCATAGTTGTATATTCTTCGTTGTGGGTCCTTCTAGTTGTGGCATGTAGGACGCTGCCTCAGCGTGGTTTGATGAGCAGTGCCATGTCCACGCCCAGGATTCGAACCAATGAAACACTGGGCCACCTGCAGCGGAGCGCGCGAACTTAACCACTCGGCCACGGGGCCAGCCCCCTCAGCTAATTGTTTTTTTAAAAAGTATTGTGGTTTGAAGAGGTGTTCAGCAAGATAGAGGGGAGACCAGCTTTCTGCCCCAGCCCGACTCCTAGAGCTTCACAGTATCATTGTATGCACATACATTCTAGGGTCTGGGTTGTGAATTTATAGGTTTAAAAATGTGATTTGTTAGTACACCCGGAGATGATTAAGCCTAGGGAACTGATTCACTAGAGACTAATATATAAACCAAAATGCCAGTTTACAGTAAGAAATGTGATCATTAAGCAGTACAGATGTTCACTAAGCAAAGCTACATGGGAAGCAGATTACAATCAGAAGCTCATTTGGGCACGAAATTAGAGCAAGGAGAGCAGTTGGGTTTATCAATGGCCAGTGTCATTGAACTATAGAAGCCTGCTGTCTCCTCCATTTCCACTTGTGGGATTTATCTGCCACACAGTCGTCCCTGCCTCCTTGTCTCCTAGATAGTATTGGAGAATGCTGTACTTTCTCTCTCTGAGATTCCATTTTATATGTCATTCATGACTGGTTTTTTTTTTACCATTAACATATTCTTTCTTTTGGATAGAAATAAATTGAGCTTAAGCTTTCTTAGTTACAGATACTATCAATCATGCTTCCTAAGGTTGATATTCATATCAGCTTAACTTGGGATATTTTGGATTAATTTTAAAAACTGCTGTAAATGAGCTAACACATGTCAATGCTCAGCACAATACCTGGTATGTGGGAAATGGTTGATGAATGGTAGTTGTGATTCCTATTTTAATTCTCAAGGTGACCTGAATGTCAGCGTTGGGAGTATTTGCTCTTGATTAGGAGCAATGTATATTTCATTTCTGCCTTCTATTCTTGCAGAGTTTTCAGAATATTTCTTTGGTTGTTTTAGACTTGTGACATTGTCCTTTTTCTTATGTCTGTAACATTTTGCTCTTTTGGCCAATTTTGCTAACTTGCTTCCTCTTTTACTTACCTTGATACTCTGCTTTCCTGGCTCTTTTCCTTCAGTGTATTTTTCTCCCTTTTACAAGCAAAATGCTGTGATGACATGGGGGTGCATATATCTTGTTGAGTTAGTGTTTTCACTTTCTTCAGGTAAATACAGAAGTGGAATTGCTGGATCGTATGGTAGTTCTATTTTTAATCTTTTGAGGAACCTCCATACTGCTTTCCATAGTGGTTACACCAATTTACATTCCCACCAACAGAGCACAAGAGTTCTCTTTTGTCCACATCTTCACCAACACTTGTTATTTCTTGTGTTTTTGATCATGGCCATTCTAACAGGTGTGCGGTGACATCTCACTGTTGTTTTGATTTGTGTTTCCCTCACGATTAATGATGTTGAGCATCTTTTCACGTGTTTGTTGGCCATCTGTATGTCTCTTTGGAAAAATCTTCTGCCCATTTTTCAATTGGATTGTTTGTTTTTTTGCTATTGAGTTGGATGAGTTATTTCACTTTTTACTTCACTCATTTTGTAGTTCTGTCGTTAAATGCAGAAACATTTAAGATTGTTCTGTTCTCTTGATGAAGTGGTCCTTTTATCATGATAAAGTGACCCTCTTTTTTTTTTTATTGAGTTAACGATAGGTTACAATCTTGTGAAATTTCAGTTGTGCATTAATGTTTGTCAGTCGTGTTGTAGGTGCACCACTTCACCCTTTGTGCCCACCCCCCACCCCGCCTTTCCCCTGGTATCCACTAAACTGTTCTTAGTCCATAATTTTAAATTCCTCATATGAGTGGAGTCATACACAGATTATCCTTCTCTCGCTGGCTTATTTAAAGTGACCCTCTTTATCCCAGTAATAGTGTTTGCTCTCAGATCTACTTTATAGGATATTAATATAGCCACTCCAGCTTTCTTTTGATTATTGTTAACTTGGTATCTTTTTTCAATCCTTTTACTTTTAACCTGTTTAAAGTGTGATTCTTGTTGGCAGCATTTTATATACTTTTTTATCTACTCTGACAATCTCTGCTTTTTATTTGGAGTATTTAGACCACTTAAATTTAGTGTGATTATTGATATTATTGGGTTTAAATTCAACATCTTTTGTTTGTTCCATCTGTTTTTTTTGCCTGTTTTTCTTTTTTGATTATTTTCCATGATTCTGTTTTCTCTTCTTTCTTGGCTTACTGGCTATACTGCTTTGCTTTACTTTTTTTTTTTTTTTTTAAAGATTTTATTTTTCCTTTTTCTCCCCAAAGCCCCCCGGTACATAGTTGTATATTTCTAGTTGTGGGTCCTTCTAGTTGTGGCATGTGGGATGCCACCTGAGCATGGCTTGTCGAGTCGTGCCATGTCTGCACCCAGGATTCGAACTGGTGAAACCCTGGGCCGCCAAAGCAGAGTGCACAAAATTAACCTCTCGGCCTTGGGGTCAGCCCCTGAATTTTGTTTGTTTAAAGATTTTATTTTTCCTTTTTCTCCCCAAAACCCCCCAGTACATAGTTGTGTATTTTTAGTTGTGGGTCCTTCTAGTTGTGGCATGTGGGATGCTGCTTCAGCATGGCCTGATGAGCGGTGCCATGTCTGCACCCAGGATGCAAACCAGCGACACCCGGGCTGCCAAAGCCGAGTGCACGAACTTAACCACTCTGCCACGGGGCCAGCCCCTGCTTTACTTTTATGGTGGCTGCTCTAGGGTTTACAGTACACATACTTACTTGCCCCAGTCTACCTTCTAGAATTGTTATACCATTCTCTGAAGAAGAACCATGTGGCAGTACAATTCCAATTCCCCTTTTCCATGCTTTGTACTTTTGTTGTCATACATTTTACTTCTAGATGTTATCATCCCTCAATACATCGTTGTTGTTTTTAAGCAGTCAGTTATCTTTTAAGAGAATTTTAAAAATAAGAAAAAAATAGTCTTTCATGTTTATCCACATATTTACAATTTCTAGAGCTCTTTATTGTTTGAGTAGTTCCAGATTTCCATCTGATATCATTTTCTTCTGTTAAAATGGTTTTCTTTAACATTTCTTTTTTTTTTAAGATTTTATTTTAACTTTTTTTCTCCCCAAAGGTCCCGGTACATAGTTGAGTATTTTTAGTTGAGGGTCTTTCTAGTTGTGGCATGTGGGATGCCGCCCCAGCATGGCTTGACGAGCGGTGCGATGTTCACGCCCAGGATTCGAACCTGTGACACCCTGGGCTGTTGAAGTGGAGTGCGTGAACTTAACCCCTCGGCCACGGGCCAGCCCCTCTTCAACATTTCTTGTACTGCAGGTCTTCTGGTGATGAATTCTTCCAGCTTTTATATATCTAAAAGAGGTTTTTATTTTGCCTTCATTTCTTTTTTAGTTTATTTTATATTGAAGTATAGTTGACTAGGCCTTCATTTTTTTAAAGATATTTTTGCTGGCCTAAAATTCTAGGTTGGCAGTTTTTATTTCAGTTCTTAAAGATGTTGTTCACACGTCTTGCATTATTTCCAGTGAGAAGTCAGCTGTCATTCATGTTTTTGTCATTCACATCTTTGGTCCAATGAATATTATGTATCTTTTTTCTCTCACTTTCAAGATTTTTCTCTTTATCGATAGTTTTAAACAGATTTTTTTTTTTTTTAAAGATTGGCACCTGAGCTAACATCTGTTACCAATCTTCTTTGTTTTTTTCCTTCTTCTACCCAAAGTCCCCCAGTGCATAGTTGTATATTCCAGTTGTAGGTCCTTCCAGCTCTGCTGTGTGGGATGCTCCTCAGCATGGCCTGATGAGCGGTGCCATGTCTGCGTCCAGGATCCGACCCGGAAAAACCCTGGGCCACAGATGTGGAGCGTATGAACTCAGCCAGTCGGCCACGGGGCCGGCCCCAGTTTTAAAAAGTTTGATGGAGTTAGTTTTCTTTATTTTCTTGTGCTTGGGGTTCCTTGACTTTTTTGCATCTGTACATGTATAGCTTTCACCAAATTTGGACCAATTTTGGCCAAGTTTTCTTCAATTACTTTTCTTCCCACTTGTATTTGAGAGATTCTAGTTACACTTAATTAGGTTGCTTGAAATTATCCCATAGTTTACAGATGTTCTGTTCATTTTCCTTTTAGTCTATTTTTTCCCTCTCTGTTTCAATTTGGAAAGTTTCTGTTGCTGTCTTCAGGTTCATTAATCTTCTCTTTTGTGG